AGGTGTCACCAAGCTTTTTCTGTAAAGGGTCAGACAGGAAATATTTTAGGCTTTGAAAGCCACACTGTAGTCAGTGCTACTTGCTTCTGCTGTCATAGTGGGAAAGCCAACAGAGACAGTACTTACAAGTGAACGGAAGCGACTTTATTTACAACAAAACTTTATTTTCAACAACAGGCAATGGGCTGGACTTAGCCTGTGTGTCAGTATTTGCCATATTGTGGTGTATTGCACACAGAAATGTCTTCAGTCCTACTATCCCGATTGTAGATGAGAAAATTGAGGTATAGAAACCTTGAGTGGTATCATTCCAGTTAAAATGACCCTAGTTGAGGACACAGATCTACAAAAATGTTGCTAAGGCCAATGCCAGAGAGACTGCTGCCTATGTTTTCTTCTAGTTTTATGGTTTCAGGTCTCACATTTAGGTCTTTAATCCATTTTGAGTTTATTTTTGTGTACGGTGTGAGAAAGTGTCCAGTTTCATTCTTTTGCATGGTGCTGTCCAGTTTTCCCAACACCATTGGTTGTATAGAGTGTCTTTTCCCTGTTGTGTATTCCTGCCTCCTTTGTTGTAGATTAAGTGACCACATAAGCTTGGGTTTATTTGCTCCCTATCCTGTTCCGTACATCTGTCTGTTTTTGTGTCCATACCATACCGTTTGATTATTACATCTTTGTGGTATAGCTTGAAATCTAGGATCATGATACCTCCAGCTTTGTTCTAAGTAGGTCTCCTCAAGAAAGGGAAACAAAAGAATAAATTATGGGGGCTACATCAAAATAAAAAGGTTTTGGGGTGCCTGGGTGGCTCAGTCGGTTAAGCGTCCTACTTCGGCTCAGGTCATGATCTCAGTTTGTGGGTTCAAGCTCCGTGTTGAGCTCTGTGCTGACAGCTCGGAGCCTGGAGCTTGCTTCGGATTCTGTGTCTCCCTTTCTCTTTGCCCTCTCCCCGCTCACGCTGTCTCTCTCTCTCTCTTTCTCAAAAATAAACATTAAAAAAAAAAAAAAAAAGCTTTTGCACAGCAAAGGAAACTATCAACAAGACAAAAAGGCAACCTGTTAAATGGGAGAAGATATTTGTTAGTGATACGTCCAATAAGGAGCAAATCTCCAAAATATAGAGAGAACGCCTCCAGCTTAGTAACAAAAAAACAAACTATCTACTTAAAACATGGGCATAAGCACTAAATGGACATTTTTCACGAGAGTCACATAGAGATGCTGAACGTGAAGAGGTACCGAACATCACTCATCATCAGGGAAATGCAAATCCAAACCACAACAAGATGTTACGGTATCCCTGTTGGGATGGCTGGAATCCAAAAAGACAAGAAATAACAGGTGTTGGTGAGGGTGTAGAGAAAAAGGAATGCTCGTGCGCTACTGGTGAGCCTGTAAACTGGTGCAGCCACTGTGGAAAACATTGGGGAAGGGGTGTTCCTAAAAGAATTAAAACCAGAGATACCGTATAATCCAGTAATAACATTCCTGGGTATTTAGCCAAAGAAAACGGAAACACTAATTTGAAAAGATACGTGCACCCTTATGTTTATTACAACATTATTTATAATAGCCAAGATATGGAAGCAGCCCAGGTATCCACTGATAGATGATTGGATGAAGAAGATGTACATACATAGAGCGGATTGTTACTTAACCATAAACAGAATGTGATTTAGCCATTTGTGACAAGATGGATATACCTGAAGAGTATTATGCTAAGTGAGATCAGAGAAAGACAAGCGTCCTGTAATTTCATTTCTGTGTAGATCTAAAATACAAAACAAATGAACAAAGAAAGAAACAAAAAAACAGATGCTTAAATACAGAGAATGCACTGATGGTTGTCAGAGGTGAGGTGTGTGGGGGGATAGGTGAAATAGGTAAATGGTATTAAGAGGTACAAACCTCCAGTTATAAAATAAATAAGTCAAGGAAAGAAATGGGAAAGAAAATGACCCTAACCACATGGTAATGGAATTCTTTTTGCATATATGATGTTCATAGAAGATTCTTTTTCTTCCTCACCAGGTAGAATACATGGAGAGGGTCTAATCTCTTAATTTTTCACAAGTTTTACATTGTGATTAGAAAACGCGTTGCTGGGTCTTTACAGGAATCGTTTTACATATGATTTTTGCCAAGGTTTGCAACACTTTTCCTTTTTCAAATGTAGAAACAGATACAAAAACTGGTGTGATGTGATTTGTTAACTAGATTTGGATACCTTACAAGCATATCACGTAAATTACTACCAAGCGGTGTGTCAGATGAATTTCAAAATCAGCTTTATGAAGCAATGTCTTTGGAATTACTTTGAACTGAAATAATTAGAAATTTATTTATTATGAGGTCGAGGAAGCGTATTTTTCCCTCTCCAATTTCACGGCCTAGAGGATAGTTTGTTTTGTGTGTGTCAAGACATCGTGGTCTACTCCGTGTATTGAAAGTAGGCCTAACGTGGTCATACTGGAATCTGTGCTCATTATATAGTTAATTCAACCTGAATGAAAACTGCCAAAAAGTTTTTATCTCCAGGAGAACACTGAAAGTGCGTGTGTTTAAGGAAGTTTTCGTATGAATCGGAGCCAGGATTTGAACCCATAAAGTTTAGTCAAATAGGTGTTCTTAGAGTATTGATTTTAAAAGAAGTTGAAGTTTTCAAATAAAATTTTGTCTTACCAAATAAATGGTTCAGTTCCCCCCCCCCCCCCCCCCCACTAAAAATTGACCATATCTATCTTTTCAGGGACATCAAACCTGACAACATATTGATGGACATGAATGGACATATTCGGTTAGCAGATTTTGGTTCTTGTCTGAAGCTGATGGAAGATGGAACGGTAAATAAAGATAAATCTGAAGTCATTTTATCCATAGATCTCCCCCTTGCTACTTGTCCTCTTTATCTGCTTTAGAATCCACGTATTTATAGTAGTTAACTGTCCATCCACCCGTCCGTCCGTCCATCCATCCTTTTGACTTTCTCCGCGCCACCTTCTCCTACAACAGCGTTTAGGCATACTGACTCATAATAGGGTTTGTTTATAAAGTCCTTTGCCATTTTCACTGTGTATGTTAGTGGTGGTAAGATTGATATAGTGCGTCTTTTAGGAGAACTTTGTGTCTTCTTTAGAGGGACTGTTGATTGCACTTGAGATATTTTCACAGTTTTAGAGAAGGGAATGAAGTCGGTCCCAGATGGAAGAAGAAAATGTGGCTCCTTCCTCACCTTTATTTTTTTCATCTTTCTTCCCTAGTTGTCTAGTTTTTGTTTTGAGGGACAGTGTTCAACAAATGAATGCTTTAATCAGGATAGGCTCTATGTGGATTCAGTTTTACGTGACCATTTGGTTTAGTTGTCCTAACCCTACATCTTTCAGCTATTTTCTTTCACTTACATAGAAGTCTATATGCCCCAATTTATTCTCTGTTTTGTCTTGTTTTATTTTGCTTGCTTTTCAACTTCCTGGGTATATAGCAGAGGTCCAAATGTAAGTAATTTCAATTGGCAGGCGCTGTTTTTGAGAGCAAAGGCCATGAAAATTTCCTATTATTCTGGATCAGTAATTTGACTTCTGAAAATTTATCCTAAGAAGATATCTTGAAAAAAGTAGATTATATGACTTCTGCCTCTGGTCATGATGAAAGGAGTGATTGGTTCCAAATTGTCCTCTCACTATAAACAACTATAAAAACGTACATGGGGCGCCTGGGTGGTGCAGTCAGTGAAGCGTAAAACTTCGGCTCAGGTCTGATCTCACCGTTTGTGAGTTCGAGCCCCACGTCAGGCTCTGTGCTGACAGCTCAGAGCCTGGAGCCTGCCTCGGATTCTGTGTCTCCTTCTCTCTCTGCACCTCTCCCGCTTGCACTCTGTCTCCGTCTCTCTCTCAAAAGTAAATAAACATTAAAAAAGAAAAATTGGTGACAATACCAAATGCTGACAAGAATGTGAAGTCTGTCACTCACACATTACTGGAGGCAATGTGAAACGGTACAGACACCATAAAAAAGCTTAGTGGTGTCTTAAAAAAAATAAGCATGCAATTACCCTGTGATCCAGGAATTGCGCACCTGGTGTTTATTCCAGAAAAATAAAAATTTGCATTCCCACAAAAACTGTACATTTATGAATGGTGACAGAAGCTTTATTTGTAATAGCCCCAAATTGGAAAACCAGATGTCCTTCTGATGGTTGGTTAAAGAAACTGGTACAGAGGTGCCCCGGGGGTTTAGTCAGTTAAAGCATCCATCTCTTGATCTCAGCTCAGGTGTTGATCTCAGGGTCGTGCGTTCAAGCCCCGAGTTGATGAATCTTAGACTTCCTGTAAATCTGCCCTCCAAGGGTGTAATTGTAAGCTAACCCTTGTTCAAGGAGATCAGGAAGTATTTTTTTTTTTTTTATCTTCTTCTACAAGAATTAGTGTCTTCAGAGAAAGATAACAGGATCCGTGCTCTGTGCTCCAACAGCTTACTGACAGTGACCAGCGTTCAATCAGAAATCACCAAACCAAACAAAAATGGGGACACAATAGGGATTACGATACAGAGTTAAAAAATAGAAGCAGTCAGGGGCACCTGGGTGGCCCAGTTGGTTGAATGTTTGACTCTTGATTTTGGCTCAGGTCGTGACTAAACAATTAAAATACAGCCTTGAAGATTGTTCAGGTAAGAAATCTCATCAGAGAAAGAAATCAAATAGACCCTTTATTTTTTTAAAAAATTTAATGTTTGTTTTTGAGAAACACAGAGCACAAGCAGGGGAGGGGCAGAGAGAGAGGGAGACACAGAATCTGAAGCAGGCTCCAGGCTCTGAGCTGTCCGCACGGAGCCTGACGCGGGGCTCGAATTCACGAGCCATGAGATCATGACTCGATCTGAAGTTGGGTCACCCAGCTAAGCCACTCAGGTGTCCCTCAAATAGACCTTTTAGAACTTGAAAAGTATAGTAATAGAAATTTAAAAAATTCACAGGAGGAGGTTAATTCAGGTTAGAGATATGAGAAGAAAGTGCCAGTGAGTTTGAAGACAGGTCAAAAGAGATGATCCAGTCTGAAGAATAGAGAGAAAAAGACTGAAGCAAAATAAATAGAGGCTCAGGGATCCATAGGATTGGAATACTAGAAGAAGAGAGTGAAACAGGAGTAGGAAAACTTTGTAGGATTGGTGATTTTTACCAAATATGATGAAAACATAAATCTAAGAATCTTAGTGTATCTCAAGTTTATAAAAGGGATCCCACTTGTACACAATTAAGCTCCTGAAAATGAAACATAAGAGAAAAAATTGAAAGCCGCCAGAATTGAAAACATGTTCATAGTTTGGGAACATGGTAAGAATAACCACAGCTCTCTTGTCAGAAATAATGAAATGATGTCTTTGCAATGCTGAACGGAAAAAAAATGTGTAAACCAAGAGTTCTATGTCAAGCAGAGATATTCTTCAAAAATGAAGGTGAATAAAAGACATTTTCAGTTACATAAAAGATGAGACATTAATCTCCAGCAGGCCTGGATGCTAAGCAGTGTCCTTTAATCCAAAGGAGATGAATGATACCATTTGCATACTTAGATCGGTGGGATAAAGAATATCAGATATGATCAATAAGATAGGTAGGATAAAGACAGAAGACTATATTTCTTTGGAATGTGCATAAAAGGCATCCGATGACTGTTAAAAGCAAAAATAATAACACTGTCACATGGGGTTATGATATACGTGGAAGTAACACAAACCACGTGAAATGGTCTGTGGAATCACACTGCTCGAGAATACCTGCTGTATGTGAGACGGGAAGTGGGCAGTAGATCGTGCCAGGCATGACACGAGAAGGGAGAAATCGCAGGGTGGTCTTGCTGAGTTGAGAAACCACAGATCAAAGTCAGGAGGCTGTGGCATCAGGAAGTTGTGGATCAGAATCCTAGAGAGGAGAGAGTCACACGGAAGAAGAATTCCCTGGAAAGAGCTAGCGTTTCCCCACTTCTGCATGTTATCCGCCCCTTAGACTCACAGCTGGGACTCTGATTCACAGCCTTCCAGATCCCTGTGCATCCGAGAATGCAGTGCGTACCGTTTCTGTCCGCAGGAGTCACCCCCGATCAGGTTTATTCCTGAAATCGTGGTGCGTCTTCCCAATCATTCATTCTTTATTGATGACCTCAAAATAAATTTCCTGGACATAACAGCAGGTTTATCCTCCATTTAAAAAATTATAATGAGGGGCTCCAGGGGCTCCATGTAGAAAATTATAATGAGGGGCTACGACTTTGACTCAGGTCATGATCTCACGGTTGGTGAGTTCAAGCCCCGCGTCGGGCTCTGCACTGACAGCCTAGAGCCTGCTTCGGGTTCTGCCCCTCCCTCCCTCCGTCTCTCAAAAATAAATAAACATTTAAAAATTTTTAAAAATTATAACGAGTAAGCCTTTGTACTAGTTTTCTTTCCATTTAATTTCTTTTTCCTTGAAGCGATCTATATGTATTTTAAGAAGGGTTATTGTAAAAACTGCATTCCTGTGTCCTGTTCTTTCTACTCTGGATCTCTTTTGCTAAAGGAAGACACTTACAGACTTCTGGCTTTTCTTCTGTCGTTTCTTTTACTTACGTTTTTCTGGTTACCATATTTTGCTACTATCTTTTGATTATTTAGTTTTAGATTTTACCTGTTAATTTCCTACCATGGAAAATTTCCTACCGTCTCATCCAACCCATACGCTTTCGTCTTCCTAGTGTAAGTATCAGAGTCTTTCCTCAAATCCTATTCAGTTATGATTTTATATAAAATATTGTTCATAGTGCTGCCATGTGGTTTATTTTAATTATAATTATTTTCTTGAACAGCTTTTTGTTGTCCTTCGAGTAAGTGACCACTTTGCCTGGTTTTCTGTGTAATCCTTGCCAGTTTATCCCCAAACTCTCCACCCTGTAATTCCTCTCTCTCTCAGACACATTAAGTCACTTAGCGGTTCCCTTTTATCTTTTGGAGATGGCTACCCTAGAGCCTTGCCACCCCCCTTTCTAATCTGGACTGTTCTGTTGGCCTGTCGTAGCACAGTCATGCCACTACTGTCCCACCCCTCATCATGGGATTAGCTGCACGGCTCTGTAGTGGTACCTCCTCTGTCTCCTGGGTCCCGTGTCTGGCTTTCTTTCCCCCTGGTAGTAGCTGCCTGAGAAGGGTTCTGGGGAAGTAAATATTTTATCATCTTGCACATCTTAAAAATGGCGTCACTTCTACCCTCATACTTGATTGATAATTTATTTGGGCATAGTATTATAGATTTGAAATTATATCTAGCAGGCATTGCCTTGTCTTCTAATTTACTGTGGAGACATCTGTCGACATTCTAGTTCTCAATTCTTCTATTGTAACCCTCCCCACCCCCACCTTATCTGGAAGCTTGTGGAAAATTTGTTTGTCCCAGGGTTCTGAAATGTTACGATTATATGACTTTGGATAGGATTTATTTATCACCTGGGCAGCTGCCTCAATTTTAACCTTTCCGAAATTTTATGACTTTCCAAGTCAAGTGTCACCTTGCTTTTTGGCTCTCACCTGCAAGTTAAAACTCTGCCATCTTACTCACTACATGTCTTTATAAGAAGTCAGTTTCTGGGAGAGATGTCCTGCTGTAATTCCTTTTCTTCTCAAATTGTCTCGGCTCTCCTTGGCCATTTGTTTTTCCATATGATCGTTGGGATTATATTCTTGGTTTATATACATACGTGTACACACATACAAATACCCCTTCACAAACAAGCTTGTAGACCTGCATTGAATATAGAGGTTGATTTGGGGGAAATTTATGTCCATAACATGGAATCTTGCCTTCCATAAATATGGTGTCTCTCCCCTTTGTTTTAGGTTCTCCTTTATGTCTGTTTTTGAAGTTTTATCATTATGTTCACCGTAAATCCATGACCTTAATTTGTTAAGCTTGTTCCTAGGCATACTGTGGATTTTTGGGGGCATGGAGCATTATAAATGATAACTTTAAAAAGTTTCCAGTTTAATGGCTTGTTACTTTTGTTGAGGACCAAGTTGATTTTTGTATACTCATCTTGAACCTAGCAAGCTCACCAAATTTCTTATTCAAAATAATTTGTAGATTCTTCTAGATTTTCTATATAGACAGTCATATGATCCACAAGTAATAATCAGCTTCGGGCTTTGTCTTCTCCATTCCTTACATGTGCTATTTTTTACCCTTATGCAGTGATCTTCAGTCAGTATTACATAGATAGGAATATTGGGAGTTTCTATGCCTTCTTCTTGACATTAACAGTGTTTCTCCTATAGGGTCAAATTTAGCATGATGTTTGCTGTAAACTTTTGGTGTATATTCTTCATAAGATTAAGGAAATTTCTGTTTCTTATTACTAAGAATATGTTATTGTTGTTATTGTCGTAATGATTTTTCTGCATCCATCGAGATGATGATATTAGGATATTTTCCCTTTAATCTGTTAATCTGATGGATGACATAGATTGTCTAATGTTAAGTCATCCATTCTCTGGCTAAACATAACTTTATGATGAAGGCGTATTGATATTTCTGAACAAATTGCTAGGTTGACTCTGCTAATATTTTATATTGTATTGTTACCTGAGATTCATACTTGAGATTGATCATATCTGAGGTTGTGGTATGATTTTCTTTCTCAAATCATTCTTGTCTGGTTTCTGTGGTTGTGTATTTTAGCCTTATAAAATGGACAGGGGAGTAGTCATATCCTCTCCCCTTACCCATTTTGGCTTTAGAGCAGTTAATCTGTAACACAGGGGTTATGTAATTTGTAGAATGGTGGAACTCACTTTTAAATCACCTTTGCCTTAGTGAGGTTTTGTTTTCTTCTTCTTCCTTTTTTTTTTTTGTTTTTTTTTTGTTTTCCAGGTAGATTTTATACTATTGATTCAAACTTTTTAATGGTTATAGGTCTCTTTGGTTTTCTATTTCTTCCTGAGTCAGTTTTGGTAAGTTATTGTTGTTTTCCTATGAAAATTGTCTGTTTTCTCTGAGTTTTCTATTTTGTTGGTATAACGTTCAGATTGTACTCTTCATAGCTTTAAAATCTGTTACATGTGTAGGGTTTTTTTGTTTTTTTCCACCCTAATGTTGTTTATTTGTGCTTTTCTTTTCCTTTGTCAGTTTGCTATATAATAGAGCATCTGACTCTTTTTCAGTTCTAAATACTTTTCAACTTCAGTTAGAACATTTCTGTGGACCATGATTATATAGTTATGTGCTTTTTAGTATCTGTAGTATTGTATTTGCTTATTTATATACAATATCCGCTTTAGAGTAAGGACTATTACATGGGGCTGCCTCTTGCTTCAAACCTCGTATAGGGTGAGGGCCCTCTTGTCCTCCTGTATATGTTAAAACCTGAGGACCTAGAACATGAAAACCAACATTCCCCAGCCAGCCCCACTCCTTGCTCTAATGATTATCACCCTGGTTCCCAAACATTTCTTGATTATAGGCCCCTAATAATTTCTTTTTTTTTTTTTAAGAGCTCATTTATATGTTTATAAAGATGGTTGTTTTGTATTTTATGTAGCATTTTTAAGAGTTTGCAGTGGAAGAGTTCTCAAGTTACTTAATCTCAGGATTGCCAAATATGAGTCTATTCTAATGATTAACCAAGAATGATATTTTTTTTTTAGAAAATCCAGAATATTAGCCGTTATTCTACCCTGAGAATGTTCATTTTTTGATATGCTCCTTTATTTATTTATTTTTTTAAATATGAAATTTATTGTCAAATTGGTTTCCATACAGCACCCAGTGCTCATCCCAACAGGTGCCCTCCTCAATGCCCATCACCCACTTTCCCCTCCCTCCCACCCTCCATCAACCCTCAGCTTGTTCTCAGTTTTTAAGAATCTCTTATGGTTTGGTT